CAGGTATTATATTACAGGGTAATAGTGTACCCTACCACAGGAAATAATTATAGGTCAATTAGGGGGTACACTATGTATATTTTAAATAGTGCATTAAAATATATATAATGTATGTATAAACATATGTCTTTCTTGTTTAAAAAAAATTCCTGGAATTTCATATCTTTAGTACTGTTGTGCAGGCTGTAATTGTATTCTGAGTTACGAGCATCATATATTTTCCATGTGAAATTGTTTCCTTTTATTAAATTTTAATCCCTACTGAAGATGCGACATCAATATCTCTTCTGGATGTTACTGTTTATTTTCTTTGTAATGTTTGTTTGCATATAGTTTATTTCTAAGTAGCACTGTTTTCTGGATTTCATACTTAATATTCTACGCATTTGTTAAAACTCTAATTTAAAAATTTACTCTAAACTCCAATTTGATTCTAATTTGATATCTTTAGTACTGTTATGCAGGCTGTAATTGTATTCTGAGTTACGAGCATCATATATTTTCCATGTGAAATTGTTTCCTTTTATTAAATTTGCATCCCTACTGAAGATGCGACATCAATATCTCTTCTGGATGTTACTGTTTATTTTGTTTGTAATATTTGTTTGCATATAGTTTATTTCTAAGTAGCACTGTTTTCTGGATTTCATATTTAATATTCCACCCATTTGTTGAAACTCTAATTTAAAAATTTTGAATATGTTTGCTTATGTAATTGAACTGTTGCGCTCACTTCGAACTTTCGGAGTGTCCCCGGATGCCCCCTTTACGGTAGCGGGACGGGTGTGTTAACGGGTAAAGCTTGTTATTAGTAGTTGGAAACTCAAATTTGTGACGGATATTCAGCGACGGTTATAAAATAAAATATAATTTTAGATCGGTAATCTGTCGTTCCATTACTAGCATTTCAATTTCAGTTTTAAAATTTAAAATATTTAAACAAGTTAAATAAATTCTGATCTTAATTCTTAAATTCAAAGATAAAAATTTAACAAAATTTTAGTTTCTGACTTAAATGATACAAAACCATTTTAAATTAAATAAGTATCCTCTCAAATAAAATGAGTTTAATCGCATGACATACCAGGATTTATGTTTGTTTATATTTGTGTGCAGGTTTTCTTTGAATTATAAAAAATATCTTTTATTTCAAATATAATTGTTATCTGACTACATATTGATATATTTCGTAATTTTTTTCACTTGTAAAAATTTTTAGCCTCTAACTACATTATTCATTTCAATTATAAAAGATAGAGGCATATGATTTAATACCTGTATTATTGCTAACCGCATCCAGCTATAAAACTGCATCTGAAAGGTATAGAAACTGCATCTTGTAAGGTAGAGGAATTTTTACAGAAATTTTGTAGTTTAAAAAAATGTAAAATTTAAGTTTTCCGAATTGTTTTTAAGGAAGCAATTTTAAAACGTTCGAATTTTTAATTTACTGAAATCAAAACTGGAAAAAAAATCGCATAGAGTATTCTTTTCTTTATCAATGTTCCATTTTTATTGCAGACAGAAAGCAATAGGTACAGAACACAAATTTAAGAGCTGAGCACCTGTATAACTTTTGATTTAAGGTTATTGGACTTTTACCTACTAAAATGTAACATTAATAGTTAAACGGCTTTAACGTTCATGACAAAACTATTAAGACTATATTTACTAAATTTTAGTTGCGCACCATATTTAGAGAATTTAGATAAAGGTAAGAGAACGATTTTTTAATTTATTTTGTAACATAAAACACCGTCTACGCAAATAATTAAAATTGAGATTTATCATGTGAAATTTCGATTATTAAATCAAAAGCTTTAAAGTTTGTTTTTCTTTTTCACCTTCTACATATTTTTTTACTTTTGTAACTCACTTCTATGTCTCAAAAATGATCTCACTTTTCGGTCTGAAAAACAAACTCCCCTCCCTCCCAATACCAGTATTTTTAACTGTATTAACAAAATAGGTTTTAACGTTTCCAAACACTGTGTTTCCGATTTAGTACCTTGTATTTTGTACTGAAGAAAGACTCAACAAAATTTTTTCTATTACAAAGGATGATAATTGAACCATAATATATGACATAGGTTTTAATCCTTTATTAGATACCGTGTTTCCCAATTAGGCACCATTTATTTCATAAGTATTACAAACCACTACAAACATAAAATTATTTTTCGTATGAACAAACCATCTTTTCGTATAAACAAACCACCAAAAAATGTAAATCATTTCAAAGCTAAAGAAAATTTCCAATTTAGCCAGATTGTTATACCAGTTTATTATTGACAATTAAAAAGTTAAATCTACTTTATTAAAAAAACAATATAAAATATAAACTGAATTATTGCATGGAGAAGTTACTTTTAACTAATAGTAATATAGCATTAAGTAAAAAAGTAAAATAATTACACGTCATATTTTGGCGTTTTATGATTTGGTATTGCATACAATACCTAGCCATTGTGAAAAATGTTTAATAGTTTAATACTTTTCCGGCTTTTTTTCGTCATTATATATAATACCAGATTTCCAAATTTCCCGGAAACATATACAATATATGTAATTATTCTTTTAAGAATTTCAACAAAGCATTAAAGAAGAGAATCGGAGCATCCGCATGAATATAGTGAGCAGCACTGTCAATTCCAACAAACTGGGCTTTTGGAAAATGTTTCTTAATAATTTCTGCTTCATCATTCCTAGAAAAAAGAACATCGAACAATGAGTAAGTAATATCATTCATCTGTGGTATTTTAAATTGAACATGTGAACCTGTGTGTGTTTTTATAGAAGATAGGCATTGACAGAATGGCAACACTAACAGAATCTTGAACAAATTATGGGTTGCCTTAGGCTCTGAAATACAGTATTGCTAGTAGAAGTAAATATTACTTCGTGTTTAAATAAAACTTTTGATGTTTTGCAACTAATGTTTCAAAAGAAAAGCGGTAGCAATTGTGGTTTACTTCTTTTCTCTCCAAAAATTAGTTTTCTCTATCAAAAAAATTCTAATAAAGCTTCAAATCCTAGTACTCTACTCCAATTAACAACATTGCATTTTTGAACCTAAAACAAATCATTAATGAACGACAATAGATAATGAGACGTTTTTTATTCGGGAATACATTAATGATAGTACTATGTAATAAAAATAACTTAAACTTTACGTTTTATTTAAATGCTTAGAATTTGGTAACCAATTTTTGAAAACATGCACTTAAATTCAGTTTAAATGAATATTTGCAGTATGTCAAGAATCAAGAACTCCAATACTTATTTATGATAAAACTCTGTTGGACAGATGGTAAGATGTTCGATTTTTTCACCAAATATTATTCATAAATTTCTGTCATATATTGATTTAGATTTCTGGGAGTCCTTTCATATCACAAAAAAAAAATCAAATAAAAATGATCTCAGTCTGCTGCTCCTAATTTATCAGATATTTGGAAGTTACTCATTGTTTTTATAAAACTTTAGCTATCAGTTTTTACTTACGTTTTTTGTGCTTACTCCCGTTGAAGTATATTTTCCTCACTTTGTCAGTGTAATATGTCAATTTGGATTATTTTGCTGATTCCTGTTACTTCTATTCCTGTTATTTTCTTTTTCTGATGACTATGCACCATGTGACACCGTCACGCGTCTGGGTTTTGATAAATGTATTAGTGAGAAGTCGGAAAGTAATGTCGATTTTTTTTAACATTGAATTCAAGTATATCAGATTCGATCAAGCTTTTTATACTTAATGAATGAAGTAATAACTCTTGTGATCAGAAAACCTCTTGTCAACTAGTTTAACAAATTTTCAATGACGAATCGATAACAAAATAATTTATATTTCAGACAAATACATGGAGATGATGATCGGACTTGAATCAGGTTTTCGATTTTTTGTTAATCGAAAACCTGAACCTAATCGAAATTCTGTTGTTAGTTTTTAATTAATCCTTTCGACCGATTAAGACCAAATTCAAAGAGATACTACATCACAGTTTTACTGAATACAGTGAGGTATTATCTCCATGCATTTGAAGGACAACTCAAAACAATTGTGCCAAGGAGCACTCCAGGTTAACAAAGTAACCGTTCAGATATACTCTAAAACTGTAACTAAATGTAAACAACAATAATAGACTATGCATGCTTACATCGAGCTCACTCTCCTTCATCCCATACGTAAATTATTTTCTCTTCCAAAAGCACCAATTTTGGCTTACTTTCGCTATTGTCTCTAGATTGTTTACAATCGACTATGAAATGATTTGAATGAAATAAGGATAATTATATTTTTATTTTTAAATATTTCTTATATGTATTAAGTAATATTAGAATATTTTATTTTTATACACTTGTACCCTGTTAAGTCTAGTTCGAATTTGCCTTTATATTCTCCTTGTTATGCGTATGTTTGAATTACAAACTTACAGTTTATTTTAAGAATTTAGGTGCTCCCTTAACTATCTATTCTTATTTTATACTGCGTTGTAAATATATCTTTACGGTTTTGTGTCATCGTGATCTTTAGTGTTACTGAGCACCGAAAATGGTGACTATTACTTAAAACTGAACGGATTATGGTAAAATATCCACCAAGAGCACTCTTTGATGTTTGAATACACCAAAAATTACCTCCAGTATTTCTTTACATTATGTTTGGTATCAAATAGTTGCCACCATTTTCAAGATACAATAAAATTTTTGAATTGCAAAATATATAATGCTTAGATATCATAGGAACATTACTTACACGTGAATCATTGATTTTTTTCCATAAATAAAGTAAGAAGGACCATCAAACACACCTTCATATTTTGATATTAGAGTATCTTCATTTTCTAAAGATTTCCTTAATACTTTTAAATTTGACGAATGGCTAATACTACCATCGGAATTTTGGTTCAGAAAGTTGGAGTTTTTTCCCTCTGCTTTTCTAATGTGTGGTTTCTGTAAGTAATTAAAAATTCCTCACAGTACAAAATTTTATAATAAATTATTTATATTTTTAAGAAAATTATAATAATTAAAATACAATTTCCGCTTGAATTTAGAGTATGAATTGCCTTCAAAATAGGTTGTTTTCAAAGAAAATAAAAAGAATTCTTCAAAATTTCAGAGAGATCGTTGCAGTATTAGTTTCTGCAACGTCATTAATAAAGGCAGCGTAGTTACAATAAGTGTTCGAAATTTCGTACACTAATGATGCTTGACTATATGCCCACGTATATACCACACAATATGAGATTCTCAAAAGGTGGGTCTGCTGACAAAAACATAACATAACAGAAATAAAATTTCTCCAACGTTGGGTGTGTTTCTCTAATACCTTTGTCTTTCGGCTAACCATGAGAACGTTTCGTTATTTTTTTTTCTCCGAGTAACGCAAATGCGATTTAGATTCATCAAAACGTCCTCCACGAAGATTACTTTGTCCCAATACTTAATCATGGAGTTCCCTAGTCACCTGGAATGGATTCAAAATTACAACACTGCGGAATTAAACATAGCTAGTTGTGAACCTGGAAATTAGTCGGCTGTTTTAAATTTAAAAACTTCAGCGATTGCTCTCTTCCTAATGAGGTGACCCAAGTTCGAATCACAGCATTGTCTTGTCAATGCTAATTCTGCTCCCGGCTCGCACTGACAGCATTGCTGACGTAAGATGTTCTCAGAGGTTGACGAATCATGGGTTAGAATCCTCTTGCCAAAGGGATTACGGGGATAATGATAATCTTTCGTGGTTTTCTCCCTCATGTTACGGATATGCGGGTTACTAAGATCAAAAATCAGCTAGTTTGTCATCTGGATTACGTTCAAAATTATAGGGCTACGGAGATAAACATAGTCGTAAACTCAATAGAGAACTCATAGTCGTAAACTCTGTTCAGTGCTTCGCAGTGAACTTATTGCTATTCAAACAGGTCTGGAAAATATCAGGGCTAGAGCCACTTTTGGGAATGTCTGGATCTTCACGTACAGTCGTAGCTGTATTCAGCACCTGAGCAATTGGAAGAGAGTAACGGACCGGTCTGGTGTCTCTATACTTCGTTTATTAAATGCCCTCTCAGCCTCCCATGACATCCATATACAGTGGATACCCTCACACGTGTGTCTTTTGCGCAACGAACGTGCTGATCGAATGTGCTGTTCAGTTGCAAAGGAAGGTACTTCCCTCCCAGCCTCTCCAAACACGGCCCTCACATACTCTGAATTATTTTCTATCCTCCAAACTTAAGTTAATAAAGCTTGACTTGTTCCACCGGATCAAAATTGGTATCCTCGCAAGCGTCCTGGAGGAACCCTTGACCTTCAGGGTACACGTGCCGACCAAACCGCTACCTGTCGATTTGTCCGTGGGCATACTAAGAGCCTCACTTTCAGTGGACAAATTAAACTTTTTACAACTTGTAAAAAGTGCAACTCCACCAAGACTAGTCCTCACCATCTACTTGATTGCCTGGATTTCACTATGGAAGAGGTTCTTGAGAGACCTCTCCTTTTCATCGATTTTTTGAAGACTCACGGCCTCATGTCACGGCCTCTGGTATAGCTCCGCTATCCCAGCTGGGATTGGAAAAAACAAAAGTTTTCTATAAATTAGATTTTTAAAGCGGAAATGTTTAAATTTGATATAAGTTAATTCATTTTTGAAAAACAAAAATAAATGCTGCCCATTGGAAAAACTAGCGTTGTCCCATATTTTTCCTGCCTATATAAATTTGACTCGACCAATTTCACCATACTCATAAATAAAGAGTTGAAAAAGTCTATAAAAAATCAGGATCATTGGATACGCAGCCAAATGGTAAATAGTTCAATTCAGTTTTATAAGTTGAGTTTAATAATAATAACTTACTACATCATCTGGAACTCGTTCATACATAAAATCACTGAGGAACTTTGCAGCCTCTTGTTCAGTAGAAACTTTTGGCATGTTCAAGATAGCTTGTTCGTGTAATGAAAATACCAACTTTGCAAAGTTTAAAAAATCTTTATTTACTAAAACACCAAAATCTTCGATAATTATTTTATCAACTTTTGCGGGCTGAAAAAAATGATATTGTAAGTTGAAATCTGTTGGAGTTACAAAAAGTTACAAGTTTTTTGTAAAAGAACTTTTGATATCAATCTGCAATTTTTAAATTTTGAAAAATTAGGATGTCTGTTAAATTATGAAATAAACTTTTTAAGGCGATCAATTAATTCAATTATGCGTTGTGTCCTTTTATTATGTAGTTTCGAAAAGGAAAAAATAGTAGTAGCACAAGCTTTTCATTATTACGACTTATTTTGCAGAAATAAGATGATTCTGTAAAAATCATAATATATTAATAATATAAATATTGAATCGGAAATCACAATGCGTTTTTAAAAGCTAAAAAGGTAAGTAGCACACCCATATGAATAAGCAAATTTGTTCGATCTTTATTTTCACACAGGTATTTCTTATTAATGGACAAAAATATGCTAATGGACATTAAATGGACAGTAAAAAGTCATACAGCTGCGAGAACAAAAATAAATAAATAAATAGCCGAACAGGAAAATAACTTTAAATTAGAAATATAAAAATATTTATAGAAAAACAATACCTTAATGACTTTTATTATTTTTATGCTGATGACAAAAAAAAACAATACGGACGAGCGGGAAAATGAGCAAATATTGTCTTTCATAAATATATATTATATTAATGACTAGCTGTACCCGTTCACACGTTGCTGTGATTAATGATCAAATGTATACAATACATCAAAATGGAAATTAATAATAAAATTATCCCAACATATATGTCATTTGAATATAATGAAACATAGATATACATAGTTGATGGTAGAATAAACATGTTTCTTCACTTGTGATATTAAACAATATTGCAAAAGATATAATCATAAAATGAATGATATTTGATGATTGATGGTGAACTTTATCTTAGTAGTGCTTGTAAATATGCAACATTTTTTGTTTTCCTATCTGGTGCAAGAACAAATAAATTTGATGGTTTTCCAACTCGTGAACACGCAACGTACAGCTGTCAATGTGAGAAGCATGGATTTATCAAATTTAATCCACATACTTGCAATGATTGTCCCTGTGCTTTGTTAATGGTCATTGCAAAGGCTAGTCGTACTGGAAACTGTAGACGTTTGAATTCAAATATAGTATACGTTGGTATCATGGGAATGTGTGGTATTAGTTCATGTTCTCCTTGGTGTTTTCCATTTAAAATGGTTGCTTCAATTATGTTATTCATAAATTTTTTTACTGATAGCCTAGTCCCATTGCAAAGTAGCGGTGGATTTATATTTCGTAGAAGGATGATTGGGGAACCAATTTTCAAAGATAAAATATGCAGTGTCATTCCTGGTAGATCCATTGAATTTAAAAATTTTATTGGATAATTAACTGATTCATCTTGATTGACAACAGTATCTATGGATTTATATGTTGTTTCTTCATCAGGTATTTTATTTTGAATTTTGCAGTTTATTAAATTCACATCAATGTTTCTGGCTGCCAATATAGCACGCTCCCTAAGCCATTGATTATTTTTATAATTCTGCGATAAATTTGGAAAAACTTTTGCAATCAATTCATCAGTGGATTTTACAATGTGACAAAAGTTTTCTGGTAATGTAATACAGTGTGTGAATTGGTCCATTTCTACTTTACCATTCCCAATATCTAACAATTGTTTTGTAAATCGTTCAGAAGATTCATCTTGTTGTAATTAAATACGATTATTGGTCTTTAAAAATATTTTCTCCACATACCGCTATAACACTGATGATTTGAGACATCCATTCAATTCATCTGCTGGTGTTGAACGGGGTATGACTGGTAGAGTTTGTCTAAAATCACCAGCTAGCAAAATGAGTGCACCACCAAAGAGCTGCTCATTTCCTCTCAAATCTTTTAATGTGCTATTGAGTGCTTCTAATGATTTCTTGTGTGCCATGGTGCATTCATCCCATATTATAAGCTGACATGATCTTAGTACTTTTCCCATTCCAGAATCTTTGCTAATATTACATGTTGGAGTTTCAATTACCTGCACATTTAATGGCAATTTCAATGCTGAATGTGCTGTTCGACCACCGTCCAAAAGAGTTGCTGCAGTATCAGATGATGCAATAGCAAGTGCAATATTATTTTGTGATCTTATAGTTGCCAGAATAATTGAAATAAGAAAAGTTTTGCCATTACCTGCAGGTGAATCTAAGAAATATAAGCCACAACTCTTGTTAGATATTGCATTTATAATTGTGTCATATGCTGTTCGTCGTTCTAATACCAATTTCGGAAGATTAATTCGAACAAATGTTTGTAATTCATTAACATCGAAGTGTACATAATTCATTATTCATTAACAACATAATTCATTAACATCATTTTTCCCAAAGATCCTTTTGATTATCCGGAAAGTTAGTATGATGGAAAATAGTGTACAGTCCGCAAAAAAAAAAAGAAACANTCATTAACATCGAAGTGCGTTTCTCGTTGTATATCACGATCGAAAATGTCATTACCAGATCTATTTGGAGCAATCATTCCCAAATCTGTCAGTGATTTGTTGGCTATTGTCAAACATACATTCTCAATTAAAATCAATGCTTCATTGTATATATTTGATGTAAATTGAATGTTGGGATTAGCATTTATTCTACGCATGCTGTGTAAAATGTCTTCACTCATATAGTCTTTATATTTTTCCCAAAGATCCTTTGGATTAGACGGAAAATATGTAGTTAGTATGATGGAAAATAGTGTACGTATCTGTGGTGGTTGAGCTGTATTAGAATCATCAGCGAGTGAAATATCCCAATGAGCATCGTTTTCTAAGAGACTTAATTTTTGTCAAGCCTCATGAAATGTAGCACACACACGGCCATTGACTGTTTTTAATTCTTGGAAAGATGTTTGTCCCCGAACATTGATTAATAATAATCTCAGGTAAAAGCATTCTGCGTTATTTGGATGTACAGTGTACAGACGACCCAATGCATGTGTGGAATATAAATTTAGATGACCTTGTACTGCTCTACCTTGTTTACGACGCTGAAATTTTCTTGATGATGTATTCCAAGTAAAATAAGTTGGTACTTCAGAGTACAGTAGCGTCCTTTCAAAGGTATTATTTCAACATAATGCGAAAAATTCAGTTAATGTTGTTGGCGGTGGTGACATTGCTCTTGCACGTACATATTCTGATGTAAAATACACACGCTGTCCATTTTCAAGATGTACTGCTAAATGAACAACCGTTGGATATCGCTCATGAATGGAAAATGATAAAATACGCCATACAGCCTCATTGCTACTTATGTAGCGTCCCAGTTGATATTGGGTGACTTCATCGTTAGAAGCAGTTGTATTTTCCAGTGCATACACTGCCATATCGCTTCCTTTGTTCACATATTTGCAAATATATTTTATAGCTTTCACTGAATTGCAGTACTCAACATTTATGTGCGCGTTATACGTTTTTAGTAGTAATGGAGAATATGGTACTACCCAACGATTATCAACATCAATAGTATTGTTGAGTACTTTTAGTTTAATGGATTTTCCACCATCTTCGGTAGATCGTCGTCGATAGAGTGGATATCCATCATTGCCTGTAATAGTTTCAGCAAGTAAGTCTCTAGGATACCGCTTTGTGCACTTTCCATCTGACATGCATGGTGAATTATTATTTAGTGAGCCACATGGACCGTGAATCATATTTTTTGAGACAATATCGTGCAAATCTTTATCAATTTCAATGTCTGGTATTTCTGCAGAGATGATTTCATCAATTCTGTTAGGTGTTATCTTTTCCATCATCCATATTAAAATATGCGCATGTGGTAAACCTCTTTTTTGTCATTCAATGGAATACATCCAACAGCACGTCTCTCCAAATACATGGTGTTTGACAATAAAATCTATTAACGATTTTAATTTTTGTTTAAATACACGTGCAGAAATATCATGACGATCTGATGGTGATTGTCCAGTTAATAAAAGCTCCTTTATTTCATCCCACGCTGGGTTGCATGTAAATGCAATGAAAAAATCTGGACGACCATATGCACGAACATACGTCATTGCATCTTATGCATATTCATGCATGTGTCTTGGGCTACCTGTATATGTGGATGGTAAAATGACCATTTTCCAACATTCACTGAGATTGCCATCATTTACAACTGCATCACGTAAATGGATGTACTCTTCAGAACGCAATTTAACTTGATTTAGTCGTATGTAGAGGAGTTTTTCATTTTTTATTTTTGCATACATGTCAGCAATGTATTGATGAAATAATTGTCTGCATTTCAATATATGATTATCAGCATTCTCACGAATCATTATTCGATATGCATAATAAGGCATAGCACTGACCTTTTTGTTAATGTCCACATTAGTTGTAGGATTTCTCTTATTAATATTAAAATGATATCCAGCCTCTCCTTGCCAAAATAAAATGGGATATTGTAATGCATCATATGAACGATGCGTTTCTGATACTTTCTGGACGTCACCATTTCTACGATGAAGAATTATGTCGCGAGAAGTAAATTCTTCACCAACTATGACAATTGCCACTTCATCAATCGTTGGCGCGTTGAATTGTCTTCGATGTTGACCAATAGGTGTTTTATCTGCCTTTATTATTACTTTGTAATCGTCAGATGGCATTTGTTCAATGGCGGTTTTAAATAGTTTAATTGATTCATTATGTTGTTCAAACAAATTTTGTAATTCAGCGACAATCTCTCGTTTAGTACTCATATTCAGTTGACACCGTCTGTTAATTTGTTGTTCGTCAGTATTTCCCATAAAATATATCTGAAGATATTTGTGATCAGCATTTGTCAAGAGTAGTAGTGATCCAGCATGTTGATAAATTTGCCCTTGTACTTTAAATGTTGGCATATAATTTGCGTTAACGATATTCGTTGCTCTGAACGATGTCATTTGGAAGCATGAATTGTACTTGCGTATATTTTTCAAAACATTTTTTGATTGACTTGTTTCACCTGATACTAAAGTTAATAA